ATTATTATTATTATTAATTTTAATGAACATTTACAGAGATTTTAGATTTCCATTAATTCATTGTTGCACTTTTCTCCCCGCCCACATCCCCCACCCTCAGTTCTCTTCCTTCATTGGTATATAATCTCCTCTGAAGTGATCTTTTAAGAGATGTTTCAGGAAGCAATAAGTTTATTAAGCATAATTGTTTTCTTTCTGAATAGCATCCTCTGACTCAATTATTTATTAATCTTGCTCTGAAGTTAGATAATTCTGTGAGTCTATCCTAAGAATAAGGGAGGCTTTTAAAGAAATTCTTGCCAGTAAGGGAACTCTGGCGGCTTAATTCTTAGGGAATTGTTCTGCTTAGCCCAAAAGTCGAGTCTCTCTGGCAGTTCCCATTTACCAGAAGCTTCACAATAGAAACATGAGCAAATTTCTTCTCATTAGATTTACAAACTTAGAAACCCAATGGAGGGTCAATGATGAGGTGACAGCAAAGTGTTGAGCTGGTTCTTGCCAGTAACATGTAATATTTATTTATTTTTAAAATTTTTTTTAATTCTTTTATTATTTTTGTGTGTGTATACTGTCAAATCGGATCTGACTGCTACAGGAGGAGATTGCTCCTCCTTCTCCAGCAGAGCATATGGTAGATTCAAACTGCATACCTCTAGGATTGCAGTGTAACTTCTTGCCACTAGGCCACCAAAGCTCCCTCATAATATTTATTTACAATGCTCTTGTGTAACTTAGGCCCACAATTTCTTTTCTCTGATAATTGATGCTGTGTTTCAGAACTCAGACCTTAAGCAAAGTCACATGGCTAAGTAAAAGAAATCAATCACTGAAGTATAAAGTTGAGTCTGCTGTTAAAAAATTCAAGGAAAGGTTTCTGCACAAAAAGAAACAAGTTGTGATGGTTATCAGGGATGGAGGGAGAAAGGAGGGAAAAAAATAAGAGACAGGTTCCATTTTGATGGAAGAAAAGAGGATATACAAAAAGGGTCTAATGAGCACGCTATCGTCAAGGCAAAGGAAGATGTGAAAAGGTAAGTGAGAGGTCCAGATAACAAAGGTAAAGACTACTTTCCTGAAGCAAATAAGAAAAAATACAATTGTTATGAAAGTCAAACAGGAATACAACCAGAACCATATGAGCTTTGGCATACATATTTATATCTGCTGAAAAGAAATACAGCACACAGAGGCAAAGTAATGACAACTTATGCATAATCAAATATATCCAGGGAGTGAGTCACTAAATCTGCGGACTCAATATAGTTTTCAAGGTCAATTTGGCACAACAGAGGGAACGCTGGTGGCGCAGTCTACAAAGAGTTGCCCTGTTAACCCAAAACACAGTACTTCTCTGGAGGTTTGATTCTACCAGTGGTTACACGGGAGAAAGCTAGGCAACTTGTTCCCATGTGTTTTACAATTTCAGAAACCCAACAGAGTCAGCTTTGAGTTGGTTTTGACTTGATGGTAATGACAGTTTTTGTTTTGTTTTAAAAGGCCACGTTCTAAACTCTACTAATTCGGCAAGTTGTTGTTGCTGCTGTTGTTATGTGCCATTGAGTCGCCTGTGACTTACAGCAACCCTCTGCATAGCAGCTCTGAAACCTGCCTTATCCTGAGTCAGTCTCACTCCAACACACCAACCCAGTTACTGCATCAATCCATCTCATCTGGGGTCTTCCTCTTCTGCACTGTCCATCCACCCTTTCGAGCACAATGTCCTTCTCCAAGGTCCGGTCCCTCCTGGCTAAGTGCTCAAAGTATGTGAGACAGAGCTTCAAAATCCTAGCCTCCAAGGAAAAACTTGGTTTCACCCTCTCCAAGATAGACCTCTTTGTTTTCTTGGCAGACCATGGTATGTTCAATTCTCTTCTCCAGCACCACAACTCAAAGGCATCAATTCTTCTGTCATCCTCAGTCATTGTCCAGCTCTCTATGCATGGTAAATAATTGCAAAGACCACTGTAAAAGCTTTTGGAATCTTAAAAGCTTGTGAGTGAGTCACAAAGGGACAAATGCTATATGGTGCCACTGTTGTAGAATGAGGCTGGCATTGGGGTGGGGGTAAGAC